AGTGTCTTTACAGTCTTAGTTATTATGTAAATTGTTTTTTAATCATTAATTGTATAATATTTTTGTAAAGATTAAGTATTATTGTACTTAATTTAAATTACGAACATGATTTACTGACAAGCTTCAATTAGCCGCAACAAAAGATGCAAGAAAAACAAAAGCAAAAACAATAAAAAGAGAGAAATAATTGCAAAACAAACAAAAAAAAAAACAAAAAGAAAATCTCGTTAATAATTAATTGATAAATATTAATTTGTAAGAAAATAAAGCAACAACGATCTTGAAGCTCCTAATTAGATAATAATCCAATCAATAAAAAATACAATAAATAATAAATATATAAAATATAAAAAAAAAATACAAATAAAAACTTGGTAGCTATATAATTTATAAACACACATCTGATAATATTGATTTTAAATTGTTAATAGTTTTATTCGGCTTCTCTCGCGAGGGAGTGCCAGTGCGTTTTATTTTTATTGCGTATTTTATTGCTTTTAATATCGTACATTTAATTTTTATGAGTTGAAATAGCAAACAAAATAAAAGATATATATTTACCTGCTGTTGTTTCAATGTGAAGCGGCGACTATAGTTAAATATATATTGCATAAATGTCCGTATATGATATATAATTTGTTTTATTTAATATTTAAATTTTGTTGTTATTTTTTAACGCGTATTCTTTAAGCCCAGAGTTTGTAACATGCGCGCTCATTTTTTGATATAAATATATATGTAAAAGAATCTGGCAATTGCATTTTTATTTTGATGACCGCCCGACACCGCTACAGAAGCAAGCAACAGCATTATCGAGTTTTTCCATATTCGAATAGGAATTTAAACGTGACAAATAATTTTCTTGAAAACTATAAAACACTCGCAATGCATCAAAGGCAATACAATAATGTTAGAGGCATACCAAGAACGCACACCCCTCACGCCCTTTTCCTTTCATTTACCAGCATTACGATCCGCGTCTAATGACAACCTATACTTAAACCAAAAGCAAAACCAAAAGATATGCCAAATAACTTAACGAGAAATCCTGAATTTTTAACATATCGAAATTTTTGAAAAAGCATTCAGACAGAGAAAACGGCCCAGGTGGCATATTTTACACTTTAGGCATTTTAAATGTAAAAAGGATAATCCAAGCTACCCAAACACACTTTCCAATGATCAGCAAAATGGCGAACGAACATAATCCTTGCAACAATCCTTTGTGAAAACGCCAAGAATTGTACATACGAGTAAGCATAAAGCCTATATAGAGCAAACAAATTAAACAAATAATCGACGGAATCCAATGATGGGCCTGAGCCGCCCATACATACATTGTAATTAGTGACTACTTTAAAGTATTATTTAAAAACAAAATTTAAGAGATATGAAAACTAGGACAATTGTTTTTAGTTCATTTCCCGCTTGCTCCCCACATTGAAATTTAGCAAGAAATAATTACTTTCTAGTATCAATTACTTAAGCTTGAGTTAAACGCATTCAAAATCAAATCAAAGAAAATTAGTCAAATTTCGTTACGTAGCCGCCACTTCTGGTAAATAAAAAATTGTGAATCACACTTTAAGGCTGTTACAAGGCCTAAACTTGTTACGAGCTGGCTATTCGCTATTTGCATGTTATGTTAAGTACCAATTATTTTGTTCTGTTTTCCGTTCTTTTGGTTTTGTGCGTTTGCAATTTGCCTTGTGGTTTTCAACTCCAGGAAATGCGCATTTCTTCCGATTTGTTCAAACTTGTGTACCCCAATCCATGATTTGTTCGATTGGGATGGCATTGCTCTCGACTCGATTGACGATGGGCCGATGTCCGATGGGCAGTGTCTATACCAGAATTTGATGGTTATCTCAGCGCTTTGCCTGAACACACCAGCAACACAAAATGGACCAGTTTATTCAGTATTGAATTGACAACCACCAAAAATCAAAAATAACAAAATTATGAAAATTTGTGAAACCGTCCAATAAACACAAGAACAGCAAAACGACAGACACCACACACACACACGATTTGAAAACTGAAACTGGCTACAAGAATACTTTATAGGGGGAAAGGAAGCAGAAAAGCAGAATCAGTTCTGTTTCTTCTGTTTCCGATGTGTCTTTCACAGAGCTTTATATTTCGGAGTGCATACTCGACTTTCACTTTTCCACCTATCTTCCTTCCATGCTGCTTACACGAGTTACAACTACAAGCCTACCACCTACCAATTACAGGACAAACTAAATTTGCTAAAACACATTTTCTATGATCGAGAGAGTCTTTTGAGTTGCTACAAACCTTTTCTAGGATTTTAGTTATGTATTTCCCCAAGAAGCTAAAGAGAAACACTAAACAAAACCAAGAACTTTGTACACCGAAACGAATTCATAATTATCTACAATGCATGTGCATATTGAGATGAAACATGAATTAAAAAGAATACAACTATAAAAACGAATTCAAGATCAACTATATTCTTATAGGCTTATAGTTTATACTTACATACACACTTACAAATACTTATATACATAAATATTTATATATATATATATATATCAGAGGGCATAACGAGCATGGTATTAAGACACCACTCATACACATATACATCATACATACATATAAACATATAGTTTTAATAGGAGGAATAATACGAAGCAGCGTGAGTCAATTTTAAATGCAAGCGAACCCCAAAAACCAAAAACTAACAAATGTACCCTTACTCTAACCAGCACACCCAAGACGATGAGTATTATTACTGTTGCTCGTAAATATGTGGGCAGGGGAGTACAATGGCAGGCATAGCCAAACTTAAGCATAATTACACCACGAATTACACACACAGACACTACACAACAGGCACAGACACAGCCACAGACACAGACACAGACAAAGATACCGATACAGACAGACAGAAGGACGAAGTCAAGTTTTAAAGGCAAACACGGACAACTGCATAGTGTAGTCGTACGCGTAATTACTGGTGATAATTTTGAAAAAATCTAAACAAATCAATGCTCGTAGGAGTCATAAATAATACACACGCAAACTCTAGCACGTTTGAATTTCCAATAGATGTCTATTATGCGTATATACATAAACATAAATATATATTGAAGATTCCTTATAAAACATACATACATAAATGTCTTAGTGTGCAGTCTGTAGAAATGTAAGCGAAAGCGCAGCATAAACGAAAATGCAATAAACGAAATTAACGAGTAAATGAATTAATTTTACCACTGTTCGAGTATTAGTGAATTAGGCATTGTATCTAGCAAACATTATTTAGTTTCCTCTGACATGCAGCATAAATAATCCACCCACCCAAGGGCCCCCAAAACAGGCCAAGCAGAGACTCTGGGACCTGGGATCGCAGGGCTCTAAATAATTTATTAGCATTTTTAAGCTCCCCCCCTATTCTACGGAACGATTCCTATATTTAGGCCCCAATTAGTTTGTTGTATTGTACGAGTATGTCTGTGGATGCAATCACAATTGTCGGTGCACTGGGTTGGCTCTCGGAGTTCGAGTCTGGCCACAGCCGCTTTAGGAAAACACCGATAACTGGCCATATACATACATACGTACATAAATAGTATGTATGTAGTTTCCACTCAACAAATACCGGTTGTACAAGCACACAGATGCGCATACCCACACCAGAGCCCTAACAGGAGCCACTACCGAACACCGGAAACGCACAAGCACACAAAGACACACGTTAATAGCGCTGGGCAGCAGGGAAGTTGTTTCGTTAACCGTGTGCAATAAATATGATTTGACCTGTGTTCAGTTAACACACACTCTCAGCTGTTAGTAATAGCAATGTTAGGATGCAATTTAGTTCAATTTCTGTTAATCGATTTAGTTTAGTTTAGTTTAGTTTAGTTAGTTATACTTTAATTTAGAGTTGATTGTGTGGCGGAAGACGTTTCCCCAGTTTTACACAAGCCGAATGAATACTCACCTTTTTACACACGGCCACACAAACACACACTTGTTAAACTAATCCACCGAATAAAACAATCTCATTGAACGATGTCAACATTTAATGCATTAACAAACAATTTTCGCTGTCTCCGCCTTGAGCTTTCTGTTCTATTGCGTTGCGGTTTGGGGGGAATTCATTGTGTACTCATTATTTAGGCCGCGACTGTGGGGCTAATTCTCGTAGGACCCACAAGACCCACAACAAAGCGGGCAATATCGCATAGAGACAAATTTAAATCGAAATTCTAAGTGTTTAGTTGAAGAGATTGTCGTAAAAAAATCGTATGGTAATACATTTAGCGAATAAATAGGGGAGCTAGTTTACACGTAATACTTACACACCTAACATTAACATACATACATACTTATACATTACATACAAAACATACATACATATATAATAAGTACACGTATTACATACATGACATACATACTACATACATACATACATACATACATACATACATAAATACATATTTAAGCCTACGAATGCAACATAATCACAGCAAAACTCCTTTTGATAACTTATTTTTGAATCTACAATGTACGGAATAGTTTTTGAAACATTTCTGCGTCGCATTTACACAACAGGCACACAGACATAATCAGCAGTTAGACACACAAAAAACATACTTAGATACATAAATACATTCATACATACATATATATAAATGATATATACCTTTATATACACATGCAAATGTACATCAATCGACCATCTTTCGCTTATATTTAAGAACAAGTAGGTATCGAGCGAGGCGAAAGTATTAACAGAAACCAGAAACCAGAAACAAAAGACAAAACAACAAAATATCATTTACTGCACGGCAAATTTACTTCAACAAGAACACACAGAGACACACACTCACACAGACACTAAGACACACACACACAAATAAGAAATTATTAACAAATAATATTCAAAACTACTATTTATTAAACGTTGTTAGCATCAGAAAACAAGAAAAAAATAAATGAAAACGAAAAAGAAAAAGAAAAAGAAAAGCAAGAATAAGCAAACTGATGAAAAATCGCTGTAGTGCAAAAGCAAAAACTAAGAACAAAAACAAATTGTAAACGAACATTGAATCTTATTTAATTTTAAGCCAAGTTTTGCAGCAGACGAACAAAAAGACAATTCTCAAATACATGAACATTAACTACCACAAAACAACAACAACAACAACAACAACAACAACAACAAGAACAGCAATGCCACAACAAATACAAAAATATACGAGTACATACATAATACTACAATTATTTGATCTTAAAGCAAAAGAAAACCCAGAATACCAAAACCGAAAAAACAAATAAATGAAAAACTTAAACTTATACACAAAAGAAACTCGAACGAAAACCTTGTTTTATTTAAGAGCAAACTTCGATTCCTTCGATTTCAACTCACTTTACTCACTCTGCCTATACCTTTATCATATTTACAGTTAGCAACTACAACAACAACAACAACAACAACAACAACAGCTACAACAACAACAACATTTAAACAACAACTAAAGATAGAGTTCAGTTAGTGGCCGCATTACAACAGCAACAACAACAGCACCACAGTCACCAAGCCCCCAAAAATATATCTACATATAGAAAAAACCTCCTAAAAACCACCAAAAACCAATCCAACAACAGTAACAACCACCTCCATCACAACTACAACAACAACAACAACAACAAAACCAGAACAAGAACAATAACAATAACAATTCTAAGAATTAATTAAGTCGCGAGCCAATTGATTGTCCTTTATTAAATTCTATTTTGTTTCGTATGTTTGTATAATAGTTTGCCAATTTGTTGCTCTTGGATACTACTCAGTTAAGCCTCACTTCTGTTTCCTCCTGCATGCGGTAAGTAATTACGAACCAGCAATTACGAACCATTTCATTGCATACCACACGAACCAAAGAAAAAAATCGAAAAACTCTCGATCAGGAATGTTAAACAGATCACTGAAAGGAAGGGTGGTGGTGCCTTGGAGTCAAACTTTCGAGCAGTTTTTACATTTCTGCCTATATGTAATGCAGCCTAAAAATCTAAACTTCGGGTTCTATTTGTTCATATGGTTTAGCCAATGCATAACCAATCCAAGTCATACAATGTTATTCAATATTTTACTCTCTATATTTCAACCGTGAATCGTTGGAAAAATTAAATAAAGTTCCATAATGAAGCGAGCGTAATAATCTAATTTAGCATCGAACCATTAGCTGCTGGTAGTGGGCATGCAATACAATACATTAATTAAATCCAGCCATTCGACAAACCATCTAGTGATTTCAAATGAACACAGCACAGAGTTGGCGCAGATAGCATACAAATTAAAATGTTCCCAACATTTCAGCAAGCAAATTTACTGGTTAAAGCTTCGCCCTTTCATGAATCTGGTCTTTGGTCTTTTAGATGTTTGATAATTTCGGCGTAAATCGACTCGACAAATGTTTGAACTGTTTGTTTTGTGCCCCATCTTCCCCTAATCGTTTTCTGGTTGAATGATTTTTTTGAATTGCATTTAGCATTGTTTAATTAAAAGGCCTGACCGCCTGGCCGCATGCCTGCCGGCCGTGCCTCTCTTCCGACCCACCTAATCTGAGGGAAAACTTTTTTAAGCCCACCCCGCTACGATTGGAAGCAGCAGCATTACCGGAAAGAAGGGTCAATCGTTGGTTCAGATAATCATTTATCAGCCGACTTGGGGCACATGCGTGCAGCCAATCCGGCAGAGCCACCCATCTGAACAAGGCTGAAGCAGTCATCTAAATGCCAAAGCCATGTCTTTGGCCGTGGCTCTCTGTTTGTGGCTCAATAAATTATTTACTTAAGCTCAACCCTATGCAAAGTAGCAGATTGTCCATTGGTAATCCTTTGTCTATTATTTCATTTCGAATCCAGACAGGAGAACGAGAAACCAAACGACTTACACAAATATTCCATTTAAAATGCATTGCGTTTGGCTTTGTTCATCTCGGGTCTTAGCCCAGACAGTTTTCCTTCCATTGTCATTCCGTTGAGCCCGTTGTTTTCCCTTTTTCCCCCTTTCAATGGGTTAAGCCTGTATTTACCTATGCTCCATTTATTCTGTTTCAGCAGAGACCACAATGCTGTACCAGTAGAGAGATAAATGTACATACATAAATGCACTGCTGTTTCTTTATTTATCTGCCAGGACTAATATTATTTCAGTTATTTTTTGCTGTCTTGTAGTTGGCGTTAAATTGCACTTCACATGTCCGGACCATGCCTGTGGCCGGACTGATTGATTGATTGCAGTGGCTGGCGCTCGGGCAGCCATGACAAATGCCAAACTGTTTGTCCACCCGAATATGCAGCAAAGTGAAATAGTTCAAATAAATAAATTGCACTTGCGCAAAAGTGTTTTTGGATTGGCAGCAAAATATGTCTAAAAAATGGCTAAATATTCGAGTTTTCGCCGTCATATACCTTCTGTCGCTTCATGTAATGCATTTCTAGAACTCATTTCCAAGAGCTTATTGACTGATAATCTTCACAGTTACATACATAGACACACACACATACACGTACACGTACACGTACACGTACACGTACATGAAAGGTAATGCCTGGAGGAGGGGTTGGAGAGAAAGGCTAATAGAAGGAAGCACTCGAAATGCAAGCAAAGGGACCAAATATGAGTTGCCACATTAAGATGATTGAGATTTTATGATTGTTTCGTTAAAGTTTCATTTTGTTAGGGATGACATAACACAGATTTAACATATAGCCTTGATATACGAGTGTGCGTGTGAGTCCTTGAACATTTATGGGATAAACACTCGCTGGAAGCTTTGTTGGAAACAAAGTCCAATTGTAAATAACGACAGCCAATGACCACAAAATGTAAATTAAAATGTTGAAAATCGTTTGTAATCCTAAAATTAAAGGACATCCAAAAGTGTCTGCACATGATTATAGCCAGCTTTGGGGGTTCATTTGCTTTGTATGTATCATTTATTTTGTATTTTTATAAATGCTTTGCAGGGAAGTGTGAAAAGTATGCAAACAATTGTAAAATAAAACTCCCACAGAAGAAATGAAAACACATTATAGGTACACATAGGTATAAATATAAGTGAAACATACACGGAAAGATGTTGAAAATGATTCTCTGTAATTTGCTCAATTCACTTTTCCAAGTGATTTATTCCCATTTCTTATCCAGTATTTCCGTGCATCACAAATGTACTCAATGTATGTAGGTATGTACTCCTAAGCCAAACACACACACACACACATAAAGGCATACAAAATAAATATAAACCAATACAATAAATGAGAATTACACCAACCTAAAGGAAGATGAATAAATGTGAGTAATTAAGGTTAGAGTCAATTGCCTCTCAATTATTTTAGAAAAGTGCACAATAATTATTGGATATACAGAAATACATATATACATAATTACATACATTTATGTAGTTGATTTAGATAGAACTACGCGTAGATGTAACTGCACCAAAGAACACTTTTATTTACAATTCTGGTGTAATTATAGAACTATAATTTATGAACTTAAGCAACTCGAAGTTCGGCCAAAAGCATTTCACGATGCGAGCCAACGCGGATGATCCTAATGTCAATTTCAAAGTAAAACTTAAGTAATACTAATAATGAATATTAATGAATACAAATACCTAGGCTAAGACATCACACAATTCATGTGCAAATCGAGTTACTTTAGCCCAGAAAATGCCAATTAGTTGCATCGATGTTTTCCATAAATGTCTGCCTCTGAGGCACATGCATACTTACCTGGGCGTTGGCATACATACTACACACACATACATACACAACATAAAAAAATTCGCTTTAAAGAGCCACGCCCTCCCAAAAATACATATATCACAGCGTTGTATAAAAGCCAAACGAAGCAATTTCAAAAGCGTGATTTAGATATTTGTCACCACTACATAAAAATACATGATTCAAATGTGATTTTGCTATATACATATACATATACATATACATATACATACATACATAAATACATAATAAAGATACAACAAAGTAAAATAAATTTAACTGTACTGTGTTAACTGCGAGACGGCTTGTGTTAGCGGTTTTAGGTTTTAGGGTTTTAGGGTTTTAGGGTTTTAGTTTGTGTAGCCAAATGTTTGAGAATGTAAGGTAGGCCGTTTAGGGTAGAGTAATAGAAGATACAATACATACACTACTACTGTCAATGCCGCCAAAGCCTTGCTCCCTCTGTCTCGCTAATTCTGCATTTTAATTGAACTGTTGTTTAGAATTCATTCCACTGACTAAATGTATAAATGGAGTCCAAATAAAAGCCACCGCCTCTATTTCTAAATAACTTAGAGAGAATTGTGAACAAATTGTGTCTAAACATAGTGCATATAAATATATATACATACTATATATATATATATACATAACTACAACTATTATTGCAACAACTACAACTATATACCATAAAGCATACATAGGTACATATGTATGTATGATGTGTGTAACGATAGGATATACAAAAGAGGAGGCCGACAGTATGCAGTGCAGATAAGAATGTATGCTGCATACAGCAAAAGCATACACAGAGAGAGAAGGAGGAGTACAGCATATATACAGATATTATACATACTTATAATATACAAGCATACCAACCGCATGAATACTCTTGAACTATATACATACGTGTAGATATACATATACCATATACTATGTAATACCGATATGCTAATCCTTTTGGACAACTTTTTCGATGTTGCTACTTCGAACGATGAACGATGAACGATGAACGATCTTTAACCAAAGAACAATTGATAGCCAACAATGTGTGAACAGAGTGTGGACGGACATAGAGCAACAATTATAAGTAGTCGAATTTGTAAATTGTGGTGCAACCTGGTCAAGTATAAAGCCAAATTCACAAAGTATTGAAATCCGAGACGAACAGCAGTTGCAAAGCAAACCCCATTTCCAATCGCTCAGATATTCCCATCTCGAATTGTCTTGTTTTTTTTTCGTAGCCTGCTTGCCTGCACACACACACACACACACACACACACAGCTATCTACTCGTATAATTTCCAAAAAACTACCCACCAGCTGCTCTTCCAGCAAGATGCAAACCAAACTATACAACAAATCCCTTTCCAAGCAGATATCTTGTACGAGTCGATATCTACCAATGAATGCCATCACTATGAGAGAATCTCTTCTAAACGCTGACTGCAGAATACCACCACGTTAAAATTAACTTAAAGTAAAAGTAAATACGCTAAGGGAGGCCAGGCCATCTCCACTCGAATATATTTTGAATGAAATATTGAGCGGCAGCAGGCCAGGACGCCGCCAGCCTCTGTAGTGCACCCTCTGTGTGGTGGAGGCTGAGGATGAGACGGAGGCGGAGGCGGCTCCCATCAGAAAAACATACTTAGAATGTACGAGTAAACAGTAAATTGAATAGCATATAAAGTATATTTTATTAGTAGCGAAATTGAACAGCAGTAACAGTAACAGTAAAGAAGGAGTAAATGTTACGAATTAAACAAATTAATAATAATTATTGTATTTAGCAGTAAGTGTCTATGAAGGTCATGTAATCTAATGCATAAAATGGCAATTAAACCAACAAAATGTTGTTAAGTTTTCCGCTTTAAGTGTCAAATTAGCCAAAGATTGTAATTATGATAAATGCTTAACGAATAATAAATAAATTATTTAAATGGGTGTTAATATAAATGGATACTTTAAAGGCGAAACCATTTTAACTGTTGGCGCATAATTTTAATTGTAAAGAAATTATTTAGTTATACAACGTTTTGCTTTAACGAGAGATTTTATTTATCTTTTAATAAACTAAACAATACGATAATAATACAAGAAGCTAAGGCACAGAGATGACTTTAAAAAAGAACAAATAAATGATAAATATAAATATAAATATAAATAAACCAACCCAAAAAAAAAGTCCAACAGGCAATTAAATAAATTTCTAAATGTATTTCAATGTGTGGCGGCAGATGCTAACGGCAGAATTTACAAAGTCATAACAAATGGTACTGCAGATCCAAACTACAATACAAATTAACAGATGAAGATGAAAATGAAGTGTTATGAAACTTCATGCAGACAAATATTGTAAAAGCAGCCCCAGAAGCTCTATTTCAAATGCGACAAAAATAAATATAATACGATATTAAATTAAAATTTATAACGAGAACTTTTCATTTGGTTGTGGTTAGTTGTTAATGTTAATTTCTCTTCGTCTATGCTCTTAGTTCTCAGCCATTATCTCGTTGGCTGTACACAAGCCTCTCCATCCGGAACCATCTGCAATCGTCTGAGTTTATCTCCTGTTCAGGATCCGCGTGGCTTTAACTGCTGCGAGTGCGGCAAAAACTTTGTCATGCCACTCGACATCCCTCCGGCTGCTTGCTGGTGACAACGGCGCGCGCTCCTGCGGTGGCAGCGGTTTAATTTACCCATTTCAAACTGTCCTGCCAGGCCACATTTCAAATGCACACAGACCACCGGACAAACATGCAAGTGGCGAGGGCCGCCACTGCAGTTGTAGAAGAAACACTTAATGAATGGCATAGCCAAAAATGGGCATCCCTGTACCTACAACTCTTCCTGCCCATCGGTTGCATGTCACTCTTACATGGTGCAACAAAATGTGGTTCCATTTCGAGTGTCATAACAAACAAAAAATACTCAATTAATAATGTTCAGTGTCAAACTATGGCACTTACCAAGGCACAGATTGCACAGACAATTCCTTTGCCTAGAAACTCTGAGCATTACGCAGTCAATGTTAAAGAGATTGCCTTTCCGACTCGCTCTCTGGGCAGACAGAGGGATTCTAATTGACTTTTCCGAAACTTTGGTTGCTGATCAGCAGGCAGCAAATGTCTTCATTAGTTTAATTGCAAACATTATTATTGCTCGCCAGAAAGTTGCACTCGAATGCTGCACCGCTCCAGACAGGAAGACCAGCCAAAAGCTTGACTCATTTGGCTAACGATTCCCATCTGGACGCGGTCCGTGCGCGTAGCAAGCAATTGTTGCTGGGCCCACAGAGTGAGAGATAGAGAGAGAGAGAGAGAGAGACAGGGAGATATATAATGAGGCAAAAGGCCAAAGCAAGCGAAAAGGCGTGAAGCCAAAGTGCGATTTTTTGTGTGTCTTGGTTTACTCTGTTTTTCCTCTGCATAAAATGGCATAATTATACAGAGCAAAAGAAATCTCCACCAGCTGCCAAAATGCCATGCTGTCGAATAAGTGGGCAAACTTTTAAGGGATGCTACTGCAATGCCTTAACTATTTTTCATTTAATGTAGTTAATAAACATGTTCGTTCGCCCATAATTAAGAGTCAGAAAACTACTATTGCCAGAAGAACCCTCCTGCTACTACCCTAAAAACAAGATGCCTTTCGTCAAGGGCATACAAGAAGTAAACTATTGTTCTTCATCAAGGAGAGGTATAGCATAGCGTGCAGCGATTTGTAACCAGGTAAATTCTCTAAGATATATATTTAGCTAAGACTTGTTTATTTGGAGCGTGTGTTTTTGTGTTCTTTCTTTGCCAAAATTAACATAATAATTAACAAAAAATGCATATTTCATAGGTTCTGATAGGGGACCCGCCTGGTTTTCCCCACATAGTCAAGAGTTTCTTTCCTTCTATGCATTGAGCACTTTCGGAGGTTAACGTATACGTAACGCGATTACTTACGTGCCTGAGGTACGGCACGAGTATTTGTTGCACCGAATATCACTATGGTCTTTGGCACTCTTGTGCACTTTCCTTGCAACACAACGTAAATATTCCCTTGATGGTAAATCAGCTTTACTCTTCTTTCCTTCTCGTTATCCTTTTGCTTTCACCTCCCCAGGGGCAGAGGCAGAGCCCATTAAAGTACGCATCAAAGAATACGGAAATTGCCTTTTTTCGGAGCTGCACCTGCAGCTCATAAGTTAAATATTGAAAATTAGCTAAAGCTGAGATATTAATGTGCAAATTGAATTTTTCTCTTAAGCGGATTGCATTGTCTGGAGCTCCTTCGAGGAGACTGTGACTCCCTTGGTCAAAGTTGCTGCTCTAGCTGCTCCTTGGCTTCTGTAAACGGGAATATAAGCACAAAAATAATTACTTTTCATTAACATGGGCAGTCAGGGCCTATTGCTTGCACCTGTTCTCTCTCTCTCTCTCGATGCCGAAAACTGAACGGGCGGATGGACAAATGAACGGACAACATAGCGGGTGAAGCAGGAGAAGCGGAGGGTAAATTAGAAAATACATTTTTCAGCATTAAAAACTGTTCGACGTGCGGAGATTGCGGTAATTTCGCTTAACAGTTAGTTGCTCGGCACACGGGCACGGACACAGACACAGATGCCGACACACACATCGACACATGCTGCTGCTGCGGTGGCAGTCAAACACACCTGCTGCTGGCCGATGTTGGCAGATATGGGAACTGGCACGAGGCACTCGGAAAGTAACCAACCATGGGGGCAGCACTAAATGTCGAAAGTGCAGCCCCCAGCGGCGGATGGGGCAGCAGCTGGCACTTGACATGAGCCACGGCAGGGAGCCACAACTCGAGGGCTTTCTCTCACCACCCTCGCGTATTTCGCTTCCGCTTAGAAATGGCAAAAACTCATTCCATTCCATTCCCCTACCCACTCTTATGCACAAGTAGCGACATCCGTGCATGTGTACGTATAAATCCTTGAAATATATTGCAACTAAAACGCAACAAAATGAGATACAGACGAGAAGAAACATGAGACCAGGGACCCCAAAGTCAGAAAGCGCTGGCGGCTGGCCAAATTGATAACTTTATTTCAGATTGTGTCGACTTGACTGGCATCATAACTGACGTGAAGATGCACGCGTGTGCTGAGATTATGTCTCAGATAATTAGCTTTGGTTTGTGTTAATGTAAAGTGAAGCTACTAATTGATGCCTTGACCTATAGGACCCATGCATAAAGGCGGAAAAAGGGTATTTATAGGACGCGTTAAGTTCCACAATATGGGGCTAATGCTTGGCAAACTTGAACGCTTTTGGCGAAAACAAGAAAAACGTTAAGAAATAAAATAAAAAGAGAGGCCTCTGCTGGTGAGTTTTGAAGTGTCTTCCAGGGTCTTCCTTTCAACTAAGTGTAGCTCCAGGTGTCGTACAGCTGGCCGTGTTCCCACGCATTTGGCGGTGCCTTGGAAGAACACAATGGCAGCATAATGCCAACCCGAAACAACTGCCGGGCTTACGTAAGCCTTAGATGATGATTTTGACAAATCATTCGGCAAACAAAGCAAAGCGAAAATGTTGCTGTCAATAAGGCACAAAGGGCGACTAAGAGGATGAACCCTTGGCTGCATCAATCATAAGTAATTTTAAGCCGCAAAGCATTTGCGATGACTTTGTGTGTGTTTGTTTTTGTGTTTGTGTGTGTGTTTGTGTTTGTGTGTGCGCTTCGTGTATGCGTACCTAATTGCATTAGCCAGGCATGGCACGGGCACGGGCATGGGCATGTGGCCTCAAATGCCAAGACTGCTGGCTAGTGGCATTTGCGCCAATTATGGAGTTTTGCGGCAATTAAAATTTAATGAGCACTTGCAATATGGCAACCCGGCAAGGGTCAGCAACGTTTAGCAGCGAGTCAGGCGCAAAAGCCATTTATATATGTATATCGAGTGACGCACAAACGAAGTCAAAGGATTGCATACAAGTGTCTAAAAGAAAGGACATATGTGTATGCTCAATGCAGATATCAAGTATGGGCCTTTAATCTGTTGAATATTAATGAGGTTCAGAGCATACCTAGCATGTAACATCTATTTCTTTCAGTGTATTAGTTTTTCTGATGGCAGGCGTGTCGACGTGCCGCAGGTGGCCAGCCGATCGCATGACCTGCACCGATTTGTCCAATTATATAGCTCTTGTGGCATAAACCGCTAAATGGCAAATATGCCTGATTTGCACTTGAGATAAAGTTGTTTTAGGGGTCTATAGGAGTTCATAATGAATACGAACCCACAACTAGCAGGGTCTCGATTAAAGCCAGGGGCGCAACCACCGAACGCGGGCCCCGGAAACAATGATGCAAGTACTTCCGTTTCCATTTGAGTAAACACAAGACTATTTAAGCAGCAATTTAGGGGATAAAAGTTAAAAACCTTATTTGTGCCCTGTGCCGTTCCTGTACAATTTGATGGCCATAACTGACATGGAGAAACTCGAATTGTGCCTTGTTGATGAATGTGAGATTATTGCTCACGCCCCGCCCGAACGTTCGCCCCCACATGTACATACATGGCGATGCGTCCTTCAACTTGTCAGTAGCCCGTTGGCATTCGTGCAACCAATATGGACAATCAAGCAGCAGAGCTCATACTCCAGGAGCGGGTTCCCATTGGAGTCCTGTTGCCACAAAATGGCACTGAACGCGGCAACGTGCACTTGCTCAACACCACATTCGTCTTGGAACTGCTGTTTGAGATTACCCAGTTGTATCACTTTAAGAACTTTATTTTCTACATTTCGGAGAGACTGGATCTGAAGAACAAGGACTCGCTGGACTTTTTTCACGACTTCTGGTCAACCTTTCCCCTGGCTCCGAACTTGATCATAACTCGGGACTACCATGCCGCCATTCCGATGGTTCAGTTTCTCAGTACTCCCTCCCTGGTGATGGTCTACACAACGGAACGTGACGACCCCATTATGGAAGTGGCAGCACAAACCATGAGCGGAATTCGCTGGCTCAAGACCATCTTCATACTGTACCCCTCGCTGGACACTCGGGACTTTGAGGAGAGTTTCGACTCGTTTGCACAGTTCTCCAACGACATCAAGGACTTCTACGACTGGGTGTGGAGCAGGCAGTTCATTAACACAGTCCTGATTACCATCAAGAACAATGTGTTCCTGCTGGATCCGTATCCCACGGCGACAGTGGTGAACAAGACAGACTCGTGGCGAGCCGAGGAGTTCTTCAAGAAGCACAGCAAGAATTTGAAGGGTTATGTGGTGAGAACGCCCATCCTGTATGACCTGCCGCGTGCCTTCAAGTCCGACCGGCCCACCAATAGCTACGAAAATAACTTTGTACACGGCACCAGCGGCAACTTGTTTCTGGGTTTCCTCGAATTTGTCAACGCCACGATCCTGGACACCAGCACAAACGTGTCGACGAACTATCTTAACCTAACGAATCTCCTGGATCTGGTGGCCCAAGGTGTGTACGAGACGCTAATCCACTCGTTTACCGAAATGCTCGGCAAGTACGTGGTCAGCTACAGCTACCCCATTGGCATCAACGACTGCTGTCTCATGGTGCCGTTCCTGAATCAATCACCGACCGACCAGTACATGCGGGAGGCGCTTCAGGACAATGTCTGGCTCTCGATAATCCTCTTCGTCTTCTACATAGCACTGGCCATCTGGTGGTGCTCGCCCCTGCGGCCGCGCGACTTCAGTACCGCCCTGCTGCAGTCCGTTTGCACTCTGACCTACATGGCTCCCACGTACATCATCAAGACGCCAACGTTGCGGATGCGCTACTTGTATCTGCTGCTCGCCATCATGGGCATTGTGACGTCCAACATGTACATCTCGAGGATGACCAGCTACTTCACCACAGCTCCGCCGCAGAGGCAAATCAGCACGGTTCAGGATATAGTCGAGGCGAATCTGAGGATCCTCATGATGGAAGTGGAGCACGATCGCATGGCCAAGTCGCCGCGGCAGTACCCGGCCAGCTTCATGCAGCAGGTGGATGTGGTGGAGAAGCAGGTCCTGGACACACACCGGGAGCCATTTAACACAAGTTTCGGCTACACTGTAACCACCGATCGCTGGGAGTTCCTGGACATGCAGCAGCTGCACCTGCGGAAGCCCATCTTTCGGCTCACGGAAATCTGCGAGGGTCCCTTCTATCATGTGTATCCCATGCATCGCGACTCCCACCTCCGCTCGCCCATGAAGGAGTTCATTATGGTGGCCCAGCAGGCGGGCCTCATGGATCACTGGCAACGCGAGGCGTTCTGGGAAGCCGTGCATCTGCATCGCATCACAGTTCCCGTTCACTATGAGGAGCCGTTCGCCCTGAGTCTGAGCTTCCTCTCGAGCATGCTGCGTGCCTGGTGCCTGGGTCTAGTGCTGGCCGGACTCACCTTTGCCATGGAGATGAAATGGTACGAGTATGTGACCTTTCGGCGACGCGATGCTTTCACCCGAAAGCCAAGATCCTTTCTGAGAAGATTCATGAGAGTGTGAGGGAATTGTGCGTATATTTGTTTGTCTACTGCAATAAATGTTGTCAATGTTTAATGGTTTCATACTACTAAACAATTAAGCAGTTCCATGGTGAAGACAACTGCAGCTATGGCGCTCATCACCAGAAGGTAGATAAAGGCAATGGCCAAATGCTGCATTCCTGCTGCCGTGTACTCCTGATTGTCCGGGATGCGCTCGACGAGTCCGGCGTGCAGAGCAGCCTGAAAGCTGCTGCGAGCATAGAAGTTGAGCAGACCCGAGGAGTGGATGCGGAAGGTGAAGTATTCTATGTCGCGCCAGAGAGACGAGTCCATTTGGAGGGGAAAGGCCAGGTGGTAGGAGCCAAAGCAGATGTTGCTCAGCTTGAAGCGGCGCTGCTTCAGGTGCTTCTGCTGTTCGTCGAGGAACTGCCAGTTATCCTCTGTGATGAAGTAGGCAAAGGAGCTGTTGAAGCGTGTCTGATGCTGCACAAAGATGCCAGAGTCCACTGGCCGTAGCAGCTTGTGGAACTCCTCGGGCAGCTCCTGGTTAATCTCCAGCAGGAACTCCATCTCGTAGTCAATGATCATGACTGGCAGCTGGGCTCGCACAATGTCGTCCATGTTGTTGATCTGAGCGTGGAATAAGTTCACGGTGAGAATGCTGCCCAGAGTGGATGTGTAATTAGCGGAAAGGAAGAATCCATGGAAGAAGACCGTGAAGAGCAGCAGGAAGCGCAGCAGGGAGGGTCGCTGCAACTGTCCTTCCGTGGGTACATTAAAAATGTAGCAGAAGGAGCTCAACACTGCTGCATGTATACCCGGCATGGTGGGGCCAAACATCTTGAGCCACAGCAGCTCAAGGCAGGTCAAGGCAAAGAATGATCCTAGGACAAAGAACCAAACCGTCCAATCGAAGGGCTGCAGGGGGTATAGGTATGTGGAGACACTGTTGTAGAGCGGCACCATGAGGCACCACTGCACCACCAGCATGGGATAGGTCTTCTCCAGCTGATCATCCGCCCTGAACAGTGCATAGGCATGGGCGCAAAACTCCACCTGACGATCCCGGACCAGCTGCAGGGCCTGCTTCATGTTGATCACCAGTCCACCGAGGGCATCGGGTGGCTGCCGCAGCTCCCTTAAGCTGCCGTTGATAAAATGGACAAAGGTGTCTATTATCCGATATGTGCTGCCCTCGTAGTGTCCTCGGGACTCGAACAAATGCGGCAGATCCTGCCGCAAAGGAGTTGCGAAACAAAAGCCCTCCACATCCGAGCGGGCGCTCAAAACCTGCTTTGAGGCGAGGGCAAAGTATCTCATGAAATCCGTGCGATTGGAAAACTTCATGGAGGGAAACTTCGAAACGCCAAAGAGCTGATTGAAGCCATCCTCGGTCTCGAAGTAGACCATCGAATTGAAGAACTGCTCGTCGTAGGCAAAGCGCAGGAGATCGTGGACCGGCTTCATATCCTTCATGTCCACCTTCTGCAGCGGCATAATCAGCGCAAAGTAGAAGTGGCGACCCAGCAGAACCTTTCTGAACACCTCCATTATGGGATCATCCACGCCCGTGGTGAACACAAAGCTGATGTGGTTCCTCTTTGCGGGTGAGCGATTCATTCGCATCTCCGTGTCGTTGTTCACCACCGTCTGTGTAGCGGATCCTGCGAATGCCTCACCCATAAGCCGAACGAACTGATCAAGCTCATCCACGCTCTCCTTTTGGCTGACAAACCACACGATTTCCTGGAATATACCCATGCGAGAAAAGGGGGTCAATAGATTTTGCACGTATCGCGGATTCCAGCCATTTGTGGCCTGCACAGCTACCAGTGCCAGGAGACCGACTCGTAACAGCAGCGATGACTGCATGACTTGACCAATGAAGCTCCAAGAAATAATTGAACGGTACGCATTTCGATTTGTTACGCAGCTTAACCTCACCTCAGGCCCCAATGGGGGGAGCTCCCTGGACAGCAATTAAAGTCATGTAAATTCATTCCTTACACGTCAAAGAAGCCCTTGAGCATTCCCTTTTGAGCTCTTGTTCTGACAAAACAAAATGATTAATGTGTCTATTTGATCAAACCGATAACTGATGAGCCGAATTGTCATCGTAGCACTCAAAGCGATCATGGCGGACCCGCCTCGATACCCGCGTATCGTCGATGCACACAAATCTCAAGGCACCAGGCGAGAAAGCTTACGGGGAAGCCGACGACTAGCACCAGCCAGGCTGTGGTAAAGAACTGCAGATCCAGCGGCTCCACAGGGTAAGTGTCGAGAAAGATTTGGGCATAGCCGCCACGAACGGCATAGCGAAAGGCCACATCCTCCCAGTAGTTCCAGAGACCGGCCTGCCAAGCGTACAGAATGAATCGATCCAGCTGCAAGGCGAATGTCGCGTTCCTTCGCATGGGAATTGCATTGTAGAGGCCGCCGAAGCACACTGAGGACAAACGGAAATGGGGCTGGATGAGGACACGCTGCTGGCGGTTAAAGAACTTCCAGGTATCCTGCGTTACCACATAGGCATAAGAGCGCGAGGGACTCGCCAGCAGAGCCTGGTAGTCCTGTCAGCTGCGTGAATCGAACTGAGGCTCCAGCAGGGAAGTGTCGACAATAGGCAGCGAGCGCAGCTCCTCCAGCAACGACTCGGGCAGAATGATGGGCAGTCGTGAGATGATCAAATCCGACCAGGAATCAATTGGACGAGTAAACATTGGCTTCATGTCGTAGGCAGTCATGTGGCTGGAGTGATAGTTGGAGAGAATAAAACCGAGGATGAAGAGCAGTGTGTAGAAAAGATTCACGCGCAGTGTGGCCTGGCTCAGCCTTAGCTTCATGTTCATGTTGGGGCTGAACATCAGGATGGCCATGGCCTGGAGCATGTTCCTGGTGTAGGATCGGGTCGCATGCGCCGTCTCACGCCAGTGCAGATATCTGAGCAGAAAGGCCACGTAGAATATGCCAAGAAAGAGGGTGGTCCAGATGAACTTGCCCAGGGGCCAGACCACGTACATCCACTTGGGCAGCTCCGGGTCCAGCGGCACCATCACACAGTTCATCATCAGCTCCAGCGGATAGCTGTAACGCATTTCCTTCGCAAATGTCTCCTCCCTCACGGGTCTGATGAGTACCCCGTGCATCGAAATGTCATATTGTCCATTGACAATATCCTGCTCGACCGCAGACTTCTTGGGCAAGCTCTGCAACTCGTCCAGCAGCAGTCGATAGCGATTCACGTCGGCAAAGTTCATGGCCATCTCCATGTAGGGGCCACAGAAAAGCTTCTCCGCGGAGGGGCTGTCATTGTAGACAAACGCGTGAGGGATGTCGAAGCTATATGGCGACAGGATACTGCCATAAGCCGCCTGCTCCGTATCCGACAGCATTTTGTTGCCGACTATTCAGCTTGCCGTGCACCAAACCATATTTATAGTATATATATAGTAAGTTGTAAGTTACCAATTACCATAGACTGAGTTAGCAAAAACGTGTCCAACGCGATTCGACAGACAGAATGGACAGGTAAGACTCTTAGTACAAAGTTCATCAGTGATTGTTGATGTTTAATGGCTGGTTTTTGTGTCATTTCGATGTTTATATAGATTACAAATAATATTTGTATGTAAAAAGCGCCATGACGCTTTGACATGGCTGAACTGAGGACTGCAAAGTTATATGCCAATTTTCCAGAATTTAGTTGCAAGCATAGTTTCGGCGTGGGTGGGACTTTGTTATGTAGTCGTCATCGTCCGGTCCAGAGCGCAAAACCATCCGACCCTTTGCGCACTTATTGGAGCGCGAGTGCTTTTTTCCCACTCATATTTAATAAAAAAAAAAGCGGTCAGCTTTTTTCACATTTGAAAGAGCAGTTCATAAAAAAGCATGGGGCGAAAAATCCCTGTGTATTCTGTCTTTGTCTGGTCGGTGGATTTTCCGTTTCCATGTAAATACTTTTCAATGTGTTTGTTTGTCGGTAAAAACCCGAAACCACGAGACCAGCATTCATTCATCTATCCCACCCCACGCTTTCATGAAAAAGGAGAGCTCTCGTTTGCAAATAGCTCAAAAGTAAAAACAAAACTACCATTGAAATAATATTGTGCTTATGGGTAATTACAAAATCGTTAAATGCAAAAAGTTCTATACAACTGGATTGTTCAAGTTTCGGTTGGAGAGATTCGGTTATTGCAAATCGAAACTTTTAAATGGGAATGTCGAATGAGGAAGAGTTCAGGAAGCTAATGAGAATATGAATATGTGCTGCACGCGAGCTTATTTTACACTCATTAATTGTTCCGTAAAAAACGTTGTATTGGGCAGCTAGAAAAGATTGTTTGAAGTGAAATATTTACTTTAAAACTATTTAATGAAACATAGGGAGAACACACATATGTACATATTTACCATTGGTGATAAGAGATTCCCTATAAGCGTTGATATGTGTGCTTATCTCCCTCCTAGGGTTAGCAACTTTTGATAGGCGTCGCTGTGGAATTACTAACTCAAATGTCACATAATTGTATGTATGTTAGACAAATCCACAGCCCCTTGTGAAAAAATCAATTATACAACAAATATCCCGGAGGGGAATGCCATCAACGAACCTCATTAAACCATCATTAATTCAACTCGTACTCGTAATAGTTTTTATTTTAAAGAAATTATATTTATTTTTTCAGTGACCAACGAACTTGAATGAGCCATGCAGGTTTTTTTGAATGCGCTAATTACAATTTCACTTATTTCCATATGTACATATGTATGTATGTATGTCCCGCGGGCTTAAAACCAACATATTTTGGTATAGTGTTAAATATGTAAATATGTACAGTACAGTACAATACAGTTTAGCCTGCCTAAGGATGATGAATGATGATGGATCGGAGAGACATATCAAACATAAGGTACTATGTTAACGTGTACATTTTTACATATGTATTTATATCTATGGTTAATATTGTTGACTGCATGTTCCACTTAACTACGGATATTCATATTACACAAGCATGAAAATCAGTTCATACACAGCAAAGCACCCACCGAAATTATGCATAGTCAAATCAAATAAATTCATTCTTTCAGGTTCGGAAGTTCTTGAATTTTTTAATACATACATATGTACGTAGGTATTTTTAGAACATTTTACTTTCGGAAACCCAGTCTACCCCCCCTGTCTGCCTTTACGGCACAGTGTGCAATGGGATTCTGTTCTACGACAACCAACTGACAGCAACAGCAGCAGCAGCAGCAAAACACTGCTGAGAGCAAAACGATTTTAAATGCTGAGCCAAGCAACGGTGCCGGTTCCGGTCCCTCCCATTTCTACTCCAGCCCACTCCACTCCACTCCACCGACCTACCTTACTTTTTGTGGCCCCATTGCAAACTCAAATTAATTTATGATCCAAAATCTTGTTTATCGGCTGTGGTCTGTGTCGGTCTGTGGGTCTGTCTGTGGGTCTTTGTGGTCCCCACCGGACTGGGGTTTCTTTGGACTTTCACTGGTTGCTACTGCTGTTGTGATTGGTGTTTTTATTAAGAGCAGTTGTTGCTTGCTCCACAATCTTTTTGGAGAGCAAGAAGTGCAAGGCCACCGCTCTACATTGCTCTTGTTCGCCATTTGCAATGCTAGTTTCAAGTGTCTTCGTAGCCGTGATCGTCTAGTGGTTAGGACCCCACGTTGTGGCCGTGGTAACCCAGGTTCGAATCCTGGTCACGGCAATGCTGCAATTACGCATTGTCACGGAGGAGACACATCCTTTTTGTTTTTCTTTCACTTGTATTCTCTTCTAATAGACTATAATATATATATGCTTTAATCTTTTATTCGTTTTCCATTTTTATCAGCCTCTAAGATAAGGTATTTCGGATTGTGTATGTTATTTTGGTGGCTTTGTAAAGCACCTGTGCCCGGGACTGCTTTTCGTCCTTTGCTGTGCCCAACGACGGCTGGAATTGACTGGAATTTTAATTTAATTGTAAGCAATTGACAGAAATACACAAAATCCACTTCGGAGTGTCGACCAAACGATATTAAGACGCCAGCAGCTGGCGTTGACATAAAAACGCAATAAAAAATACGTCCCCAAAAACGAAACGAAACGAAACGAGTGATTTCGCATAGTCAATGGAAAAACGAAGCTGGAATACCCTTTTGTGCAGAATGCCTGTTAGTTAAAACATTTAAGTTACTTATAATTCACTTTGAACTTAATCGGAGGTATCTATGAATATTTTAATGATTGATGCGATTGCCTTTCTCCAAGTAAAAGAGGGTATCGTCGGAAAAATCACTCAAAATCAATTGAATGTGGCCAACAGTGTTTGCCTGTCCCAATAAGGAAAATCAAAGTGAAAATAACGACGACAATGCGTTTTGTTGACTCTGTGCAGCCGCAACTTATTGGATTTTAACCGTGAGAAGCTCTTGACAACATTTGGTGGGGGGTAGTCTTTATTGGAGCAGAGCGACTTCTGACAGCGACAGTTGGTATGAGGGCGCAATGATTAAAAGCAGGGACATAAGCCTTTATAATTGTCCGTAAGTCCTGCGGTTGAAAGTCTTGGGTTCTATCGCATGTCTTATTGAAATTCAACAGTTTGCGTAAATGAATCGCACATGGGAGACAATTATAGTATACAATATACAAGAGCACAATGGAATGGCCACTTCCATGCCGTTTCATTGAAAATAAAGTACAAATAAAAATATTAACCGCAAAAGCGTTGCTCCCATCTGCCAGTTTTTCCCTTGGCTCCTCCAGCCTCTTTTTTGATGTGGGCGTGTGTGCAGTCGCCTGTATTTATGCATTTATAGTCGCTCATCTGTGGGTCGGGTCTGTGTGCGACGAGTATGCATATTGAATGGATAAATGGGATTTGCGACTATTTCGTCCTGGTTCTGGCCTGGGTACGCGCTTGACTGGGCTGTAGGGTCCCCGTGTGCCACCCCAATGGGACGAGCAACACTCCGGAAGCATTTTTGTTGTGCCATTTCCATTGTTATACATTTTCGATTTACACACACGAAGCAATAACGGGCCCATTCAACCCCATTCCATTGTATATTTCATAAACAAGAGCAAATAGGCTTTCACGCGAAGTTTGTCCAACTAATTGGCACTTTACCATAACTTCAGTTTAACAAAGATCTCAAAGATCAGGCTCTACTTATCATAACATGCCGATTCAGAATGGACAATTATATTATTTTATATTGAATTATGCCAAAAATTGAATGCAACGATTTTTAGCAGAGATGCGAACCTTTGCTTTTTAGCGAGACTCGAACCCAGTATTTTTATATCGATAACTTTCACATTGGGGCCAGAATGGGAAGCAACCACTCATATATAAAATAAGGGATTGGTGAATTCGAAATTCTGATTAAAATATTTTAAAAATTCTGCAAAAAATCCGCTTTAGAAACATTGCTTTATTATCAAGAAAATGGACTCAAAATATTCTTCCCGTGCCGTAATCCTATTGTAGATGTAGACTACGGACGCTGTGTAGTCTGACGACGGGAAATTGTCACTTAAGTTAATTGGTTAAAGTAGCAAAGACAGTAAAAAAAGAAAAGTAACACATACTCCGTTGACTCATTCCACAATTTTAATACACTTGATTAGCTACAAATTAAATACATAAATGTCATTCATAAAATGGCAACGTACTGCCAGTACACGATTCAGTGACAGGTAGTTTCAATTATTAGTGTAGTTGTACGTGTCCTCGAGGCGATGGCAGCGACGTCGTTTTGTGCAACGACCACAAATTGAAAACGGTGGCAGACACCCAATAAATAAAAATAAACTAAAAACTAGATAAATAACAAATATTAGCACGTGCACGCTGAAATGAGATTGATGGCTGGGAGCAGTGACTACTTTGACTTCTTGGACTCCAGAGGAGACGTTGCCTTCTTGGCAGGTTCCGGCAAACGCTCAATGGCTTGCTTGTACAGCTGATTCAGTCCAAATGTTGCACGCACATTGTCGCTGGAGAAGAAGAACTTCTGCAGCTTTCCCTTGGTATCCACGCAGGGCCGACGGTCGACTTCTTTGCCCTGCTGGAACAGCACAACGGTGGGCAACTGGCGGGAGAAGCTACTGTCCGAAATGCGATACTTCTGCGCCACATCCGGAAAACGGCCAATGTCAATCTTTCCAAATCGAAGATGCTCTGCGTTGTACTCGTGGGAGAGTTCGGCAAACACGGGTGCGAAGTTGACACAGCTCGGATTCCAAACGGTGTAGAAGCAAATCAGCCAACTGGTGCGCTTGTCCCGCACCAACTCATCCTCGAACACCTGGGAATTGCGGAAGTAGGTTATGTGCTCGGGCCCTCGGTATGACGGTTCCGGCAGAACCATGCCAACCAGCACGCACATCAGAAGGAAGCCCAGGCCGAAACGAAAGTCTGCATAGCCCCAGAGTATGGCATTGGCCACCTTTGTGTAGAGGAACGATGACGACAGATAGTTTATCATGGTGACGCTGCCGGTTTTTCGTGACCGTATCATTACGACGATAAGTAAAAAGAACAGTATCTCTGCCTCGCGGCTGTCAAGATCGCAGACATCGTCCTCTTCGCCAAGGGTAAAGATGCGGGTGCATATAAATTTCGTCTTCTTCGAAAGCAAATACGACAGGGCCATCAATATATTCACCCAGTAGTAGGGCATTGCGAGTGTTGCTAGCTGCTTTTTCCACGTCATGATGTAGTCGGGGGCTGCCTTGGCCGAGTTAGGTTATGCTTTTAATTAACAATTTCCCGTGTTTTTCTTTTTCTTAATTTCGGCAGAGTGTTGTTAATTTTAGCAATTTTAGTGTTATCGATCAAATATACCGTCAGGGCCTTCTAAATATACCAAAATATACCATTGCATCTTCAAAATATACCGTAGTCTTAAATCAGATTCCTCAATTTTGATCTTCTGTTTAATATTACCAGATAGTTAGGTCTCTATGCTTTAAAACTGTAATTTTTCTCGAATCATCATTCAATTCTCCAAGAGATCGGATAGTTTTCATGACTTTCTTTCATTTGAATGTTTTCAAGAAATGTTACGTATTTGATAATATGTGGATGACCCACCGGTATTATAGTATGGGCGTTAGTGTTTTCTATTTTCATTATTTAATATTAAAATTACGTTTTTCCAGCTGCTTTTAAATATTAATTATGACTTTATCTTAGACTGACAAAAATCCCTATCGGGAAGAGAGAAAATCCGCGAGGGGCATTAGAAAAACCAAGGGGAGTTTCGATTCCCTATATTCTTGAATAAACCACAAGAAGTGGAATTTAACAGGCGGATGATTTTCATTAAATATACCCTTAAATTGAACTAATTTTCGTTGTTGAAATATATCCAATTGTTATTAATATATCATTAATATTACCCCATGGTATTATTTTACGCAATTTTAGTTATCGATACAGTATTCTCTGACCCTCAGAAAATACCGGAAAATCTTTACTGTTTTAAATTCCTTGATTTTGATGTTCGGTTTAATAATACTATCACCACCAAACACATAATTTAACCAGATAGCTGAATCAAGTTTCTAGAGGACTGGCTTATTTTGAGGACTTCTCTTTTATTGGTTTGTTTATAACGTAAGCCACTATTCCGGTCCACACACGGTCCACTATTTATACAAGAAATTGTAGGAAGCAACTCGATTCAGTTTGGAAATTCTACCAGAACACTTGTAAAACTGACCCGTAATAAAGTAGTTTGTGGTCGACGTTTTTTTAGTAAATTTAGGGTTTTTAGGTAAATTAGTTACAAAATTTTCTGTGCCATTCAATAGGCAGGGCTAAACTCAGGTGGTTATGCGTATATATTCTGGTATAACCGAACATTCAATAAAAATGTAGGTGTGAAACACCCGCTACCTACCCGTCGATGACCTGTGGACAGTGGCACGTTCAACAACCTGTAATACAAAATTACTTCGAAAGATTTATCAACTTCCTGCCGAGAACATTGCCTTGAAGAACTTAAGATTTACTTCCTATTACATTCCATCCCGCCATGTTCTTTGAAATTCTATATCGAAAATAAATACTTTTAATACTTTTTTCCGACTTTTTACGCGTTTTCAACTTTCAACCAATCAAAATTCAAATTTTAACCAACCAGTGTTGTAAGCTGCTCGCAGTTGCCATGGCTGGCGCCAAGCATTTGTCGATAGCTCGACAATTTAAATCACATGTTGTTGATAAGGTTTATTATTCTGCTTGAATTTATTACGTCAGATTTTTGCAAGAGTCATTGGCGGCTCGTTGAACTTTGCTGAGAAGGTATCTTTCAAAGATGACCGGGGATATTCATTATCAGAGCACACGCCTGCCGAAAATAAAATAAAAAATATGTTAATCAGCAGAACTGGCTGGCTCTACGTGATCATAGACAGACACTCGCATTATCAGTTGAACATTTGTATTTTTCGGACCTCCTGTTATTTCTTTTTTGTACCATTTTACCAAAGAGCGTGTTTGATGAGAATTCATGCATTATAAACACACATTACAGAGTATCGCCTTAGCTACAAATCTGCATCATGACTTTGTGGGAACATTGTGCAGAGATTAAGTTTTATAGTAAACACATTGCGCGTCACCCAATTCAATGATTAATGTATGATTGTATGCATGTGGTCGCGGGTCATGGAGATCGGATCACCCACCTACATATTAATGTAATGTATATGCTGGTTTTCAATGTTTACATTTTCGAGTGGTAAAACCCTTATAAAATGTCTGTACTATTTTCTCACAGGAAAAATGTATTTCGTAAGATGCACACGTACCGCGGAGAGAAGGTTTTATAATACATTTATTTCAGTTGTCAACAATATAATTATTTTACTACAAAAATAAATAAACAACCTGCACTTAGGTCAGTTTTTAATATTATCAGTAACGTTCCAGACCATACATTGTACATACATATGTATGTATATGTACATACTTATGTATTAATGTACGTATAGTATACATTTGAATGTCACTCAAACTGGTTTAAGCTGCCTAATAATTGAGCTTTCGAACCTTAGATTAATGTATCTTCATAGTCAGCGGAGATCTGTAATCCTTCTTAGATCTTGCCCTGAGTCGGCTATAATAACCGTTATACGATTAACGTAATAACTGAAGCCGAATCAGGGCCTCTTTCTCTGTGCAGCACTTACATATTCGCTGACGCCTCGAAACATCCCTGGGAGCCGCCTCAATTCCAGCCGAGTCAAAACAAAACCAAAACAAGCGCAACTGCAGCTGATAATGTTGAGCCGAAAGCAAAATGGCGATCGGTGATCGCTTGCCTGTGGCTATCAAGGCAACCTGATCTCCCGTCTCTCTAACGGGTCCACATTTCGCTTATCGCTTATTGCCCATAGAAGCCTCGATTCCGATTCAGAAGGTCTGACCACGCGGTCTATAAATTGCAATCGATTCGAAGCGGCAAACTCAGTTCAGTTCTGAACCTTGTGCAAAGTGTGTTCGTCGTGAGCTAATGAAAATCGTCGTTGATCATCGAGAAAAACCAATCAAACAGTTTTGGCATTAAATGCCCAGTGGACAAAAACAAATTGTGCTTATAAATTGAATTTGATTGGCTTGACAAAGCAAATTTATATTCCCACAAAGAAACTCTTGGAAATATTTCGACAAATTGAAATATTCCCAATCCCCAAACTCTCCGCGGAATTTGATTTCTGTCTTTGAATGCTGCTGCAGCAAAACGAAAATTCAACCAAATTCAATCAGCATTTCACAGAGTGCTGGAATCAGCTAAGCACCCAGCGAAGGTCCGACATATTATCCGTTCTCAGCACCATATCTTTCAGCGGTAAGTAACAGCTAGGTAGCCTCTCAATGCATCTTAGCCCAAACTCTTTCTCGTTTCCCCCCACAGCTGCTAAGATGGCCACCATGCCCCAGGGTGCTTTTGCCGCTTGCAAGATTCGCCAGCAATTCAACGAACGCGAAATGATCGTCTCCCGCATGAGATCTGCGGCGGATAAGAATCCAGTTGACAACAACTCAACTCGTAAGTAGTGCACCCAGGAGCAATAGGTCAATGGGCCTTTGTTTACCCTCTCTCTGATTCAACCCGGTCTTCTTACAGAACGGGAATACACTCCGGTCAAGTATAATGACATGCTAATGAAGTCCATTTGGGGTCTATACAATCGTTATTCGCCGCACAACGTCAAGAAGAACGAATACGCCCCCACCAAGTGATACCCTAGCCAAGGCGCAGCTGCTTTGCTTATAAGGAAGCTGCTGTGCCGTGTTGTTGTCTGTACCCCTTTCGAGGGCATAGGCCGACCAAATTAATATATATACTCAACGATATATACACACATACTTATATAACCAACCCCCCAACCCCTTTAACCTGCTCATGAAAAATGAACAACAACAAAAATAAGAAGAGGTAATGTTAATCCTTGGTAACAAATTTGAATTTAATTAATCACATCTACTCTGATGCAGTAATATTTAAATTACAATAAAAATACTTATGATGCAAAGCACTCAATTTAAGTAGCACGACTCGTAGGTCGGCACCATGTACTTGATATTGATGAAGGCATCCTCGCCGCCGTGCAGCTCCAGCACCTGGAGCGTCTCATCAATCAGATCGCCAAGGTTCAGATTGTTCTTTTGGGCATAGTCGATCTCGTCGCCACAGTTTACTGCAGGCAAAATTGTTAAATCTTACATAGAGTAAGGGAAGGTGAGAGCCAACTTACAGTTTTTCACTTTGAAAGCGTTAAACATTGGCAGCAATTGTCTGTAGAAGGGCACCAGTGCCGGACCCACCTGATCCGAGGACATCACCAGTTGTTGTATTATCTTCAGTGTCGTGCACATTACCTCCAAATTTCTTGTGCTCAATGCGTCTAAAATGGTAATGGAAAAACCGAGGAGAAGGTTCGGTTCGGTTCGGTTCGGTTCGGTTCGTCGAGGTGAGCGACAAAGGTGCAAATTAAACGGAAAAAGTTCGAGGCATTTGCGTGCCAGGCAATTCCAATTTGCCCCTTTTTTTCCCATCTACTCACTCTTCAGAGGCAATATTAATTGCGGTATTACGGTGTGTATTTTGTCTCCGCCCGCAAGCAGTAGATCCGTCACTCCCTGGCGGGCATAGGTCTTATACGGATGCTTTGCTTCAGCCAAACCATCGAAGAAGAGCGGCAGATAGAGACTGTAGTCCAGCTTGTCAATGTCCACCTGCGGATATAAACAGCAGAGCATTGCCAAGATTTGAAATGGATAGATTCAAAGAATGAGTGGGGATGAGGGTTCAAAGTTCGCGTCAAAGTTCGGCAATTCCCTGGGCAAGCAGTATAAATGTGCACGCAATGCTTGTTACGGTTTTTTGATTTCTATTAAGATGCCTTTTATTTATTTATACTTTGCAAATGGAATCTTTTTCATTACGAATTGCAAAATGGAAATACACCTTCTCTAATCTTTACTTATAATATGTATTGTTTTTGTCAACGAAAGTCCACACAAGCAGGATTTCACCTCATGTTGGCCTACTGATCAGGGGCGACACCGTATTTTATTTGAGCTGTATGTCTTTTGGGCATAAAGATTTGCCATAAAGTTCAATTTTATTTGATGACTTTAGGCGACTGTCAATTGCGTGAACTGCTATGGGGCTGACCTTCAACCCATATGACGCAAATAACATAATGCCACTCACACATCACTCATATGCACTGAGCAGTCACGGAGGCATTTTGGCCTGGATAAACAAACGCACCACTTCGAAGCGATTTCATGTTATATCTCTAACCAAAAGACACCCAAGAACCCAAGGCCTGTGACATTGAAACAACAAGAAAGGGTCACGCCACATACACACATATGAAATGTGGATGGATCCTCCGCCTACACCTCTACACGTATTATGTTCTAGCATTTTCTGCCGGGCTGACTGATTGACGCTTGGACGGCGCGACGTTTTGAATGCCAGCATTCTGATTCCCGGCACCCGTACGACTGTTCTACTGACTCCGGAAATAGACAATGGCATATTATTTGTACACTGGTGTTTTTAGCTGCAGCTTTGGCTTACACTTGAAATAATTGGACACGCAGGTGTAAGGGAATCAAAGCGAAACCAAAGTATGAGTTGTGACCTCAAAACATGCAATATTAAATTGTTAAAAAACAAATAAGAGATCATCTTTGCATTTTTGTACTCACCGTCCATCCAATCTTATCGCCACCGCAGAGATACTCCATTTTGATGGGTAAGTCACCACGATCGAAGTACATTCGAAAGAGAGTGCCTCGCCCCGAGTCGGTGCCTGGAGGGCAGGCATTAAAGCCCATTCCCAGATTGAGTGTGGAAATGGATTTTTGTTGCCTTTTTAGGCCTAAACAACAATAAGGTGTCATTAGGAAAGCAAGCAGTAAGTAAGCAATGGCTGATGGGGTAGACAGGAGTACGCACATTTCGGATTTGGGGCCCGCCCCCTGGCACTTGCCGTTGTCGCGGCGGTCTCGTGTATTGGCCCGTTGATGACAACGGTATTTTTCTGCTGCGACTGTATGGAAAAGGGCGGCACATAACGGGGTCGCACCGCCGCCCCGTGGATGCCACTAAGTGGACGTAATTGCGGTGGATTAGCCGATTTAGAGCGATGCTTCAGCGATATGGAGGTGGCATGGTAGTCGTGCGACGGTCGCGTTCCGTAGGCGTTTGCTGTGGATATGCGTGCCGTTTGAGCCATTTTTGCCGTACAACTTTGCCCGCGTAGTGAGAACAACAAACTGAGCGAAGGAATTTTCTAGCCATCAGTAGGTGGCGGCTCCTGGTCTTTTGTGTTGCTGTTGGGTGTCGTTTCTATGGAGCGCGTTGCTAGGGTACCCCAAAAGGCATACTGACTGATAAGGATTTGCCAAATGTAGCACATAACGCGGCCCACTGTACTCTCGGCAGTTCTCATGCAGCAACAATGATTGAATAATGCTGTATAGCATATCAATACAAAACATTAGCCCTCAAGGCGCCTGGCCTGCCACTTTAATATGCATTTTCGTATCTCCATACAGATGTTCATACAAACATTGATATATATATGTATGTAGGCACGTTTTAGGTCAATGAACCTGGATGTAGCCGGGCCTGAGTTGAATCAGAATTTCCAGAAACCTTCAGTACATACATATTGTACATACATATATTCAATAATCATCAATATTTGTACATATAAATTCATTTTTAAAAGTGTATAAGGAACATAGAGTATAGGAACATACATAGGAGAAGGCTTATTGCATCCCTACATCACACGAAAACTTTCCTAAATGTATTCCATTTGATTGTACCCACATCTTTGTCACATGTTTCAAATAATTATACTTTGGCGCGCAGCTCTAGCAACCATCCAGGTGATAGTATCGATAGAATTAGTGCTTTCTTAGAATCGGCATAGTTCTATTTTTATATTGATCTTCTTGATTTCTACCTCATTTCTATAAAATCCAATAGAAGAGAATCGCAATTAAGATCAATCCGTATTGTAGGAAATTTGTTTATCCATCGAATAAACGTACATATATCTTAAGAGCTGAGAGTCACAGCTGTGTAGCTAGTTATATTAAGCCGAAAGTAAAATCGAGGAATATAGCCAACAAAAGGGAAACTAATGTTGTTTACCGGTTTAAATGTAGGTGGGCTAAATGTGATAAGTTCGTTCATTCCTTGGTATATTTACGGTATATTTTAAACATGAGAACGTATATTTCTAAGGGTCACTAATGGAAAGAAAGAACAAATGAGTGTGAAAGAAAAATCAAACAATTAAACCTGTTTTTAGAAACAATCCAACAAAAAGTAGCCATTACAGTAAGCTAATTTGCAGAGAATTGATTGATAAATCGAATAAAAATATACTTTTAGAGCTGAGAGTCCTAACTAGCTGGTAATATTAAATAGAACTTCAAAATCGAGGAAAACGATTTAAGATTACGGTATATTTACAGTATATTTTGAAAATTCAAGGGTATATTTCGGTATATCTTATCGATAATTCCGCGGTTAAATACCACAAAGAACAAATGAGTGTAAAAAAAATGTCGCTTTAAATTGACAATTATCTTTATATTTTAGTGCTAAAATAGATATATACGCGCAAATATTGTGCTTGTGTGGCTGAGACTGAAGTGTATTATGGCGGGTCACATGTCTTCCAATTCGAATGGGGAGTTGAAGAAACTTTCGGAGGAGAGTTTACTGCAGCCCCCGGAAAAGGTGTTCGACATTATGTACAAACTGGGCGAGGGAAGCTACGGGTCCGTCTACAAGGCCCTCCACAAGGAGAGCTGCTCCATTGTGGCCATCAAGCTGGTGCCGGTGGAGTCCGACCTGCACGAGATCATCAAGGAGATATCAATTATGCAACAGTGCGATTCTCCGTATGTGGTGCGCTACTACGGGTCATACTTTAAGCAGTATGACTTGTGGATATGCATGGAGTACTGCGGGGCGGGCAGCGTTTCGGACATAATGCGCCTACGCAAGAAAACGCTAACAGAGGACGAGATAGCCACCATAATGTCGGACACGCTGAAAGGACTGGTCTATCTGCATCTGCGTCGGAAAATACATCGAGATATCAAGGCTGCCAACATACTGCTCAACACGGAGGGCTATGCGAAGCTAGCCGACTTTGGTGTGGCTGGCCAGCTGACAGACACAATGGCCAAACGGAACACGGTCATAGGAACACCCTTCTGGATGGCCCCCGAAGTTATTGAGGAGATTGGCTACGATTGTGTGGCGGATATTTGGTCCCTTGGCATCACATCCCTTGAAATGGCAGAGGGAAAGCCCCCCTACGGTGATATACATCCCATGCGGGCTATTTTTATGATACCTCAGAAGCCGCCGCCTTCGTTTCGGGAACCAGACAGATGGAGCACCGAATTCATTGATTTTGTGAGCAAATGCCTGGTGAAGGCTCCCGATGAACGTGCCACAGCTACAGAGCTGCTGGAGCATGAGTTTATACGCAATGCCAAGCATCGCACTATTTTGAAGACCATGCTGGAGGAGACCTGTGCCATTCGAGAACAACAGCGAGCCAGTCGGGCTGCTGGCGGAGTGTTGGCCTCTAGTCAGGCCAAGAGTCTTGCCACCCAGGAGAACAGTATGCTGCACAACATGCAGGAGGAAGAAACCGAATTCAATGGCACAGGGAAGACCTTCATCGATGATCCTGGCACGCTGGTGCCAGAAAAATTCGGTGAATATCAGCAAAGCTCGGCTTCAGATGCAACTATGATATCCCATCCGGAGCCTGATATTGACGAAGGCACCTTGGGACCGGGTGGCATCCGAGGTTTGAGCAGGGCAACGGCAATAACGGCAACCGGCGTGACTGCTGTGTCTGCCTCATCCCCACTGGATGTACCAGCAGTCGATAGTGGTACCATGGTGGAGCTCGAGTCAAACTTGGGTAAGAAATATCTAAAACAAATAGAATTGAGAAAGGATTAGTACCTTTTCTTTGCATTTTAGGCACAATGGTTATTAACTCTGACTCGGACGACTCGACAACGGCTAAGCGCAATGACGATCAGAAGCCACGCAATCGGTATCGTCCTCAGTTCCTGGAGCATTTCGAACGTAAGAATGCGGGCGATGGACGTGGAGACGACAAGGCGACGGCTACAGAGTATTCCCCAGCGGCAGCCGAGCAGAAGCAGCAGCAACAGCAGCAACAACAACAGGAGGAGCAGCATCTGGCCAGTGGAGCCAACGACGTAAGCAACTGGGAGCACAACATGGAAATGCAGTTCCAGCAGATATCGGCAATAAATCAGTATGGATTACAGCAGCACCAGCAACAGCAGCATGTGCTCATGGCCTATCCACTGATGAATGATCAACTCATTGCCATCAACAATCAACAGAATCTTCTGCGTAGCAACGCTACGCCCCTGGCTCAGCAGGGACACCCGGCTGTGGCTGCAGCTCAACCGCCGCCCGCATATCAGAATCAACATGTGCACTCGCAATCGCACGCCTATGTGGAGGGCGAATTTGAGTTCCTTAAATTTCTTACCTTCGACGATCTGAATCAACGTCTCAGCAACATTGATCACGAAATGGAGCTGGAGATTGAGCAGTTGAACAAGAAATATAATGCCAAGCGGCAGCCCATTGTGGATGCCATGAATGCGAAGCGCAAACGCCAGCAGAATATCAATAATAATCTGATTAAGATATAGAAATAGCGACTCACAACTTTGCAAGGCAACAAAAACATAGAATTTGAACTCACGAAATACCCTCTGCGTTAAGTTGATCATAAAGAAAGTGCGTTTAAGCTACAGCAGCAGGTTCTTTCTCACCCAGAAATGTTGCTGATCAATCCATTCAGTGCAGAGGGCTCGAAACAAAACGCAAGAAATGAAAACACAAAAGCTTTATTGTTAAATGCAGTGAAAACAGGAATGAAATGTGGTTATAAACGTCGTCGGAAACACATACACACATACCCTACATACATACATACATACATATATTAAATAGCGCACGAACACTTTTCCTTTTTGTTTCGTTTAAATTTTGTTCGATTGCAAGTTTCATTTTGTTTCGCTTCACATTTAAAATATATTTTTGATCTACATATGGATCTATGGATCAATGAAGACATTCTCGAATCGACAAGATATTTTAGCATCTCGCAGCTGCCTGCATTATCTACTGCCTAAGTCCACTCCAAATTTGATAAGACTACGTACAATGTTCTTCCCAGTTAACTATGTAACTGTTAACCTATAATCTCTACCTATATTACCTACTTTTATTTTTGTGTCTTCGTGCGAACCCAAACAAAAAAACAAACAACAAACACACAGAAAACCCGTCAAGCAATAAATATAAAAAGAAATACGTTTTTACAACGCATTAGAATGCATATTTTTCGAAAGGTATATTTATCAAAGCAAAATGCACAGAAGCACTCACATTTATACATACATACTAGTACTTTTAGAACTTATAACTAATTTAACTAATAAATATAGATATATGGTAATATATGCAAAAAAATCCTTGTATACAGATAACTTTGTATAATATAATCTTTCATTCTTATTTACCTTAAAAGCGTATAGTCGTTGTGCTTTGATAATATTTTGATAAAGGTAGATTTAGCTATGGTTAAAGCGTAGTCTCTAGACCTACATAAGTCTAGTCTTGTATGTCCATTTGTTCAGTCGCCTGTTGCATGTCCTGCAGCTGGGCACGCAAATCCTCGGGCAAGCTATGCTCGTTCAAGGCACTTGGATCCTCCCCATCGACGACAATCTCCTCAACATCTGGGGCACGTGGCAAAAATTCCACATCCGTGTAGAGCCTACCAAAGATGTCACGCGCATTGGCAATGGCATCATAAAAGTCCATCTCGAAGCTAGGTGCGTCTGTATAGAAAACAGCATCATCCGCACCAACTTTATCGGGTTGGGACTGCGTAGTAAGGGTAAAGTAGGAGCTGAAGACGATTTCTGGAGTGGAGTTCTGGAAAAGCTGCATTGTAAATGGCCTTAAATCTTCAGCAGGATCATCGGAAACAGCGGGCGTAGTCACATGAAAGAGATCTGCAATTTTGTTGGGCATGAAAAAGAGTTCAAATTTTAGTTGGCTACTACTACTTACACAATCCCTTCGGACAAGCTCCAGAAAAGTGCGAGAGCTGGATGAAGATGGCTTCCCGGACTCCTTCCATTAGGCGGAGGATATTAACGCCACCGCCACCCTTATTAAGCACCTCATTGCCCAAAGGTGTGGAGGATAAAAACAAGCCCCGTGATAGGTGAGGACGCATAACACAGTCGCGTGATGCTGGCAGATATCTAGGAG